GTGGGCTCCTGTGGGAGCCTCTGTCTCTTCTTCTAAAACCCCAATTAAACATGTTATGCCTCCTACTATAACCTTTATGTCATTGGTTCTCCATGGCAATTTTCATGTTTTTGTCTTTCCATGCTACATTTTGGGTAGCTTCTGTTCATCTATCCTTCAGTTTACTAATTCTTAACTTGCATCTACTCTTTTTAGACCCATCCATCTTTAGTTTTTAATTTCATTTATTGTTTTATTTGAATCAGTTCTGTTTGATTCTTTATCAGATCTACTTTGTTGCTTTAATAGTTTCCTCTTCCCTGAGGTATTTTCAAGCTTATATTTTATTTCAATGTAGTAAGCAAGGAGACCTGATATCTTCTGGGTTTGTTCATTGTGTTGATTCTCACTCATGGTGGATTTTAATTTATTATGTATCGGTCATTATGTTTGAAAAACATTCATGGAAACCATCAGAAATCTAGGGTGAAGAAATGATTTTCATTTGCTTTTTCCAGGCACTTGAGGCCCCTTACATGACTAGAACTATCTTAATCTAAATTCTGAGATTAAGGTTCCCTTAACTACCCAGGTGAGGAAACTGGGTTCTCAGGTCTTTTGGAAGCCCTTAGTTTAATGGGGGTGATTGGGGTATCAGAGTCTCCACCTGGGGGTGGCCTAGGCTTTTGACTTCTGTGCCCTTTGTCTGGTAAGGCCATCAAACCCAACTTTGAATGCCAGGCTTACTCTCTAGGTTTTGACCTTCTCTAAATTTTAGCCAGGTGAGCTTTTCATTATATTTTTAGCTTTTAGTTCTTTTAAGAAGACTTAAAAAGATATTTCATCCTGCTTGTGTTCAGAAGGATTAATTTGAATTACTTAGGCCATAGCTGGTGAAAACAGAATCAAGTATTAAATACTTTTTGAAAAAATGTCTAATGAAAATTTTATCTAATATAGGTGTATACCTGAGTACATATTCTTACCCTATTGTGAGGAACGTGCTAATGCATGGAAATATGTACTGCTAAATTAAAAAACAATAATGATCTTAGGAGCATTTTATGGAATAATTTAAGAACTGACATCTTCATGTAAGGCATTTTCTTTTCTCATGGCAACAACTGGAGTTAATAAACTCTGACCATTGTTCTTAACCAAGTTATACTAAAAATTTGCATACCTTTTCCAGAATTGCCAAGAGAACAGTAATTAATGCCTGTGTATTTCCTGGCTGAGTGTCTGCCTGTTTCTGTTAAAAGCAGAGGAGTGAAATTTGCCCCCTGGTGGCCTTAATAAGTAAGAGGATGATTTCGTCAAGGGGCAAATATTTATACCCAGGAGAATTTAAAAAGATTCAGATTAAACAACACTCGCCTGTAGTACTGTGGCTCTTAGCTATGGGTCAGTGGCAAATCTCTGCACCTGCCACTAACACCAAGACCCTCCTCTCTTGGGGGTCAAGATAATAAAATAAATAAAGAATCCCACTGTCAGCAGAGAACGGGAAGTGAGATGATGTCCCCGAATTTGTCACTGCGTTGGATAGGGAATAGAAGAAAAATAAAAATCCTTTTGATGTATCTTAGTGTTCTAAAATATCATGATAATAGCAATTAAAATAACTTTAATTAAAAGAATAAGGGAAGACCTAGGCCAGGGTGAAGTTTTTCTTAGTTTTGACAGGCTCTAAATCCTAGTTTACATGGAATGTAACTAAAGAATACATACATGAAAAACATAGGAGTATATATTTCAAATGACATCAAAGGTATAATTTGGAGGTCTGTTTCTGATTAAGTCATTCAAAAGCAGGATTTAAACAAATTTAAATTGGGGCACCTGGGGGCTCAGTCGGATCAAGCATCTGCCTTCAGTTCAGGGGCCTGGGATTGAGCCCCAAATTGAGCTGCATCGGGCTCCCTGCTCAGTGGGGGAGCCTGCTTCTCCCTCTCCCTCTACCACTCTCCCTGCTTGTGCTCTCTCGCTCTGTCAAATAAAATCTTAAAAAAATTAAAAAAGGAATTCCAATTGTATTCATACTGCAGGTACTTTAAAATCACTTTCCCCGGAATATGAAATACATACTCAAAAATGCATTTTCTTTTTCCTTATTCCCAATGATGTGGTCAGTGTAGTGCTAAAGTCCTCGAAAGCAGTAATGAACATTCTTAAGACTTATTTTCAGTATTTTAGAAGTCTGATAGAAATCATGTATTTTTAAAAATCTGCACAAGCTAATGAAAGTATTGTTTCTTTGCTTTTAGCTGGTATTGTAGTTGATGGTATGATGCCAGTTATCACTGTGGAGAATTCTGACAGCTATATGCTTTTTTTTTTTTAAAGTAATCTCTACACCCAACATGGGGCTCGAACTTAGAATCCTAAGATCAAGAGTTGCATGCGCTACCGACTGAGCCAGCCAGATGCCCTATGTACCTTAATAGAAAC